TCACTGATATTTTCTTCAAAAATATTTGCTATTTTTTAAAATAGTTTTTTTCTTATTGATTTTAGAGAGAGGAAGGGAGAGGGAGAAAGATAGAAACAACAATAAGAGAGAAAATTGATTGGCCACCTCCTGCACGCCCCCCACTGGGAATTAAGCCCACAACCTGGGTGCGTGCACTGACCGGGAATCGAACCAGCAACCTCTATGGTGCATTGGTTGACCCTCAACCACTGAGCCACACCAGCCGGGCGTCTTCTGCTATTTTTAATATCCAGAAAAAAAAGGGGGGAAAAAAGCCCTGATTGGCTCTATCACTCTGTTTTGCCAGAAATTGTGGGCATGGGAAATGTTACACATTCTATGGTACAACGGATTCAGTGCTGTTTTTCTTAGCATCACATAATCCACTTGTTTTAATAGAGGACAGAGCTTTGTGTTGAAGAAATGAACGTTTGCAGATTAATGTAGAGAGTCAAGTTTTAGAGTGCTTGAGACATGTAGTCTATAGTAACTTAACCAACAGACTCGTTCAAAGTTGTATTACTAGGTTTTCTCATGTGTGAGTCTTTACCAAGAGGATGTTCAGTGGGAAGACTTCATAACAAGCCGCCCAGCATGGACGTCTGAGTTCTCCCTTGTAAATGCAGTATGGTGATAGGGTGCACTGAGGGCCACTGGAGGTAGCTGAAGAATTCAGAATTCCTTGGATGAGTAGTAGGCAGAGGAATAATAATATATGCATTGGTGAGCACTAAGCTAAGAATCTCACTTCTATGATTATGTGCTGCCACCACCATTCATGCGGTTGGTATGTCAATCACTAGCTGACAGTGCACACAACTGAAGCTCGGAAATGAGAACAGGTGTGTCGTGTATGCAGGGGCTGCCCCATCAGCACAGGGGAGAGACTAATGAACGTCAGAAACCGTATACCAAAGACATTTTTAAATATTTGTATTGAAGTTATTGGGGTTACATTGATTAATAAAAGTATACTGGTTTCAGGTATACAGTTCCATAATATACCCTTGGGTATATTATAGTGTGTGTCTGTCACTCAGAGTCCGTCTCCTTCCATCACCATTTACCCCCTGCACCCTTCTACCTGCTTCTTCCACCTTCTTCCCCCTGCTCGTCTCCAGACTGCTTTCTATGTCTATTTTTTAAATGTTTATATTGATTTTTTAGAGAGAGAGGATGGGAGAGAGAGATAGAAACAATGATGTGAGAAACATCGATCGGCTGCCTCCTGCACGCCCCCTACTGGGGATGGATCCCACAACCCTGGCAGGTGCTCTGAGCAGGAATCAAACGAGGGTCTCAGTCCCTGGGACAATGCTCCATCCAGGGAGCCACACTGGCTGGGCTGTTTTGTTTGTTTTTCTCAATCAAAGGTTTTTAAAGTGTGTTGAGAAAGAAATTCTGTCATTTTCAAATCAGCAGTTCTGTAGGGTTACTTTTTGATTTTGTGAGATACCTGCGGTTTCTCACAGCAGTGGAGTGGATTATGAGAAGGTTGGTAGGAACTTCTATGTGTTAGCAGAAAATCCCAAAAGAATGGGAATCAAGCAGGGCCGTCTCCAGGGCGGGTGTGGTCTACCCTCATCCCGTGACTCTGAGCAGCTGGTGACTGTCAGGTGTCTCCACAGCACGTGCCAGCCCTGCCCATGCTCTGTCCCCTCATCTGGTCCCTATGAACCTAGTGCACTAGCCTAAAAACTGGACAAAATCCATTAGGAAATGCATTGTTTCTTATATGATGCAGAGTTCACCGAATCTGGGGAAGCATTCCACCATAATTACTTGTCCTTTTCTTATTTTTTACCAGCTATGTCTTAGCTAATTTATGTAAAAATATCTGAGTCTAAGATTTTTATGAGAGGTGTTTAAGGAGGCAGCATGGCATTTCAAGTCATAGAGGCTTTGGTTTAAATCTCAACTTTGCCAAATGAACATCTTTTAACTTTTGTGGGTGTCAGTGTCTACATCTGTAAATTTGGGTGACAATAAAATATAAATGAAAAAAAGGGTAATAGAAATTATACTTTTAAAACAATTTTTTTCTTTATTGATTTTAGAGAGATAGGAAGGGAGAGGGGGAGAGAGAGAGAGAGAGAGATAGAAACTTCGATGAGAGAGAACATCGACTGACCGCCTCCTGCATGCCCCCTACTGGGGAACAGGCCCACAACCTGGGCAAGTGTCCTGACAGGGAATCGAACCAGCAACCTCTGTGGTGCGTGGGTGATGCTCAACTCCTGAGCCACACCAGCCAGGCACTTTTAAAACAATTAATGCATAGTTATATAGCAGGTTTTCAATAGATGGTGAATACCCAGTGTTTGAAGCCTTTAATTATTTTAGTAAACAACTTCTGCCTACCAAAGTTTAGTTAACAAGATTATAAGATGTAAAAATAATTTAGAACCATCCTAGCTTATTTTCCTTCTCTGTCTCTGTAAGAATCTGAGAAATCATTATATCAGGCCTCATACTAAGGATACTTTCTCCTATCAGAATTCATGTTCTCTTTATTTCTGTTCAGAAACATCTCAGAGTGCTCACCCTTATTATACATCTAGAGTAAATGCGGATCCTTAGAAAGAAGACTTTATTTAAAACAGTTCTCCCTTCAAGGAGAGCATGCCGTTTTCTTGCATCTCCCCTGATTCATTTGTGTGCCTATTCTTGTATCTGGAGCTGGAATTCTGGGAGTCACGATAGTGATGACTTTCAAAGACCTTGGCACCAGTCTGGGCATCTTTCTCCCTGAGTTCTGGGAATAAGATCTGGCATTTTCAACGCACAGCCTCAAGGTACAGCCACAATGACATGTCACCTTCCACTGCTTCCAAATTCTACAGTGCGAAAACTTCATGCCGGTTAATACTTCCCTTCGGCCCCTTCCTCTAAGGACTTCTGCTCTGTAATCCTATCCCTGGATACCTGCCAGACAGTAGCTAATGTGCAGTCTGCGCCACGCTGCTTACACGGGTCTCTGTGCCACTCCACACACGGCACCCTTCTCGGTGTGGGAAACTACTTCATCTCCTATGAGATAAAGCCTTGTTAGCCTACAATAAGCAATAAATACGAGATTCTTCCATTAGTAAGTCACAAACATGCACCACCACCGTAGGACACCTGGAAAGTCCTCAAAGATTTGCAGACAGGGAGCGGTGGGAAGAATAACGGCCCACAAAGAGATCCAAGTCCCAACCCTCAGAACCTGCGGACATGCTAGGCTCGGCGTCTAAGAGGCGTTACATTTGCAAACAAAATTACTGTTGCCAATAAGCTACCCTGAAAATGGAGCAAGCATCCCAGGCCATCTGGGTGTTCGCAGTGTAATCGCCAGGGTCCTTCCAGTGAAAGAGGCGGGCGTAGCAGTGATGGAGGGATGGCACCGGAGGTACAGGAAGGAGGCTGTAAGCAAGGAACATGGGTGACTTTTAGGAGCCAGAAAAGGCCAGGGACGGATTCTCACCCAAAACCTCGAGAAGAAATGCAGTCTTGCCAACACCTAGGTTTTAGTCCAGTGACACCCATGTCAAGATCTCCACAGAATGAAAGAGAATACATTTGTGTTGTTTAAGTGTGTGGTGATTTGCTATATGGCCATGTAAAATCAATACACATGACTTTTTTTTCTCCTTTTCCTGTAAGAAAAATGACAAGTTAGTGAGGTTTACATGGGTGTGGAGGGGAAAACTAGAAAAGACATTATTATGAAGGGATCGCAATTTCTCATTGTTTCAGTCTCATCGCACCTTCTCTAATGCTGTCAGCCAAGTGCCGCTCGGACAGCCATGGGAGTTCTCCTTGTTCATTAACTAAGCAAACGGAAACCTGCAGTGGTCGAGAGGGAAGTCCCCGCCCTCTTCCAGAAAGTAAACAGATTATCCTAACAAAATAACTCTTTGAACCATCTGGGAACGCTGAAACTATTATAACTCAAAGGGGAAAAAAAGGATTCTTGTGTATTACGGTTTTATGTAATTTCATCATAGCAATTTGTTCAAATGATTCTTTTTAAAAGGAAGAAATGGGCTGCTGAGTAATCTTTCTATAAATCTTGAAGAAAATGAGACGTGTGGTCTTGCTGTGCATCATGAGTAATTGCCCCTTCATCCTGTATAAAGACTCGGGTACTGGGGGCTGAATGCTGTCACAGGAAAGCCATGCTCACCAATGAACACCATGGGCAGAACGGAGTAGGTGAAAGTCTCAGACAGAAGTTCTGTCTACACAGGCTGCTTAGTGTGTTGAACGTAGTAAAGTTCTGACTTACAATCTCCAAGTCTGACTCTTTTCATGTATTTCTTTCTACATGTTCTGAGTTAAATGCTGTAAGGAGTTTGCAGTATGTTTGCACCAATCACCAGCATTCACTGATACATTGGGAGAGATAAGGATAGAAATACTAAGAAACATCCAGAATGTGGAAGAGATCTATTGTTTTAGTTACAGTTCCTAAAATGAGTGAATAAAATTTGCAAGTTCAAAGTACACTCTCAAAGCAGAGATGGCCCTGAGCAGTTTTTCCGTGATCTGTGGCTGATATGCCGACGCCCCCGCAGAGGAAGGGGAGTTTGGGAAGATGAGATAAAAACAGATAGGGGATGATTTCCCTTATTTAAAAAATAAGGTAATTTCTGTGGTTTTATGAATTATTTAAAAGAAGATAGGATGTTTGCTGGAAGGGTTCGGGGACTGGGTATAAAGAGATTAAGTATAAATTGGCAGTAACAAAATAATTTGGGGATGTAGAGTGGAGTATGGGAGATACTGTCAGTGACATTGTGATGGCGATAGATGGTTGCCAGCTGGGTACTGGGAATGCTGGGGAGAGCACCCTGTGCAGTATATGGTTGTTTAATCACACTGCTGTATACCTGAAGCTAACACATAATAATACTGAATATAAAATGTAATTAAAAAATAAAACTTAAAAAAAGAAGATCGTTTGAAAAAGAAAGTGCTTGTCTTTCATGTTGCAGAGAATGTCGGATTAGACTCTGAGGTCGCCAAAGCGAACAGCCTGGGTTTCGTGGGGTGCCTGTCCTCAGTCCAGTACAACCACATCACCCCACTGAAGTCAGCTCTGCGCCACGCGGCCACCGCACCGGTGACCGTCCAGGGGACCTTGACAGAGGCCAGCTGTGGCTCCGGGATGGACGCCGAAGTGGATGCGGTGACCACGGTGCATTCCTCCTCAGGTACACGCGAGGGCGCACCCCACGCGCCTCACTGCAGTAGCACTGCCTTTGGTGTCTGCAAGAAGCTTCCAGGCTGAAGGCGAACATTACTCAATGTCTTACCTTGTGCGGATACAGATGGTTAAGAATGACGGCTGATTTCGCATGGGTGATTTCCATGTATATCTAAATAGTCCTACTTTTAATATAATGAGTAGTTAGAACTGAATGCACATTTGTATATATTACTATATAGATGTGTAGAGTCACTACTGTTTAAGTGGCTACTTCTCCAAGGATTGAAGGGTTTAGGGTTCAGAAAGGAAAGCTGGTTGTTGACTAATACAAGTCATGGGACTAAAATCCCCTTTGTTGATAAGGGAAAGTCCCACAGCACTTGCATTCATGCGTCTTCTGTTTTAAACTCCCTAAAACTTCGTTTTTATCTTTTCTCACTCGGGATCATCCTGGGTGTCTCGAAGTGTCCCTGGGATTTGTTTTAGTCAGGTGTGGTAATCACCACCAATACGTTATTAATTTTGAGCACAGAAAAGAAATTGAGTGTCGATGCCAGCTGGTCTCTGGTCTCTGTGCTTTCCTGCGGCAGTGAGGGGAACAGGAAGACCGCAGGGCACAGCTGGCTGGCCTGGGTTTACTCCGTCCACCACCAGTGACCGCTAGAACGCTGGACACGTCATGTGTTGGCTTCAGTGTCGTGTCCTCATCTGTGAAGCAGAAAGCGTCCTGTTGTGCCGCAGTCTTTTCCTAAAGGTTAAATTATACAACGAGCATAGTGAGAGGCACCAGCGCTCCTGAAGAACTCGTGCGCACTACGCACAGAGGCCTGGGTATCGTCACTGCCTGTTAATGCATCTGTAGCTTATTTACCAGTATTTCTAGGTCAGTGTCACCAGACCAAGTGGCAGTGCAATGACTGAAATGCATATCTATGCGCTTTTAAACACGGTGCACTTTTCCTTATACCATGTCTACTAATGTAAATAAAATAAAACCTCTCTCCTTAGTGAGGGTTTGGAGGGGTGGTCATTCTTCAGCACCTCTGTCCTTCCTTGTCGATGGACTCAGCGTCCCCCTGTAGCAGGAACAGAGGGGCAGGTGTGCTTCAGGTGAGAAGCTATTGTATGTAGGGATGGGACTGTCCCCACAGAAGGCACAGAGGGCAGGCAAGAGGGACGTGTCAGGGCAGAAGCCAGGAGGGTGCTGCCATCACCTGTTTCAGCCTGACCTTACCACTTACATAGAAGCTAACTGTGTCATGCAACTTCGGGGTGTAAGTAGGGTATCTCAAGTGTGATTTAGTGAATGTTTGTTTGGACTCTTTCCAAAATCCCAACTCGCCACCCTTTGAGAGCACCTGGTAGAATTCTCAAGTGTGTCCCCTCAGCTCCGCAAGGTAGCCCTCTTCCAGGACTTTTGGTGTGGAGTGACATCGCCTGTCTCTTTCTTCTTTCAGATACGTTTGGGAAGACAGATGAGCGGGAACCCCTCACCAATGCGGTTCGAAGTGACTCGGCTGTCATTGGCGGTAAACCATTCTTTGTTGATAAAAGCAGAAACGATTAAGTGATTCTGTACTTTGGAGAAATGTGTTTCAACCCATCCTGAACGATGGCCATCCTGCACCTATTACCCCATCTTATCTGCAAGCCCGTGGCCTTTTCACAAAGCTGTGTGCTGTCTGATTAGAAGCAACGCCCCCCAGCAGCAGCTGCACGGAGGCATCTCCAGGATCATCAGGCACTGAACGCGGGGTCAACAGCTGGATAATTGGCTCAGACGCAGGCAGTGTGCACTGTGTGCTCATCCAGGTGTCGACTTTTTGGAAGCACAATCAGAGCAAACCAGTAAAACTGCGTATGGGAAGGGACCGCATTGAGGCAAACAGATGGGTGACGTTTCATCCCGTTGGGTTTGCTCCATAAGTGATTTGGGTGAAGCCCCCAGACTGTGGTTCCGAGTCCAGCAGCAGGGATGGCGCAGATGCGGCTTTGTCTTTGGTGGTGACTCAGCTCTGGCTCTAGTTTTCTCATCGTCCCCTCGGGCTCAGCCTGTGTGCTGCAACCTCCAAGGGCCTCGTTCTTCCATCTGGGCCTGAGGCACCGGCTGCCTCCCACCCCTGGTTGATTGTCGGACCCCTGTGAAATACTAATTCATTTTCATGAGGACCACAGCCCTAGCAGGAGCCCCCATCCCTGCCTTCTGGCAATGAGATGGAATTCCTCTTTTAACAGTTGGCAGCATCCACTTACTTAACTTGTATTTAGTGAGCCCCGACTTTGGGCGCAGGCTTTTGCTCAGCATAGAAATAGGAGAGTGAAAGCGATGGGCCCCGCTCCACAGGAGCCCCGGTCTGGCCGACGTGGCCGGATCAACACACAACAGAAGCAGTGAGTAGTGCTCTGGGGGTGTCCACATAGCCAGGGGGAACAAAGGTGCAGCATCGCAGAGAGACTGAGGAAAGGAACCTCACCTAACATACATTTCTGCTTCAGGGAAGAGTCCAACTTGACTTTACTTGGGCATAAAGGGAGGTAGGAAAGAATGGGGTGTCTGTTTCTCTGCCTGTAATTAATTTCTCATTTGACAAGTGGAAAAAGGCTTTGGTGACTGCTGACGTTTTCCCACCATCTACATCCCTTTGGAAGTATCTCTAAGAGCAGAAACGTCATCCCCACCCCAGGGGCAAACTCCCGGAAGCTGGCTCAGCCTCCCACCCTGACTACTCCATGTGTGAGCAGCTGGTTCTCTGGTTCATCTCTTAAAGCTACAGCCATTGCCCAGCCTGTGTGGCTCAGTTGTTGAGCGTCCACCCAGGCACCAAGAGGTCGCCAGTTCGATTCCTGGTCAGGACACATGCCCAGGTTGTGGGCCTGATCCCCAGTATGAGGCATAAAGGAGGTGGCCAATCTATGTTTTCTCTCATCCATGTTTCTCTCTCTCTCTCCCCCTCTAAAATCAACAAAGAAAAAAAATTAAAAATAAAAAAGTGACACCCATTCCTGGGTGGGAGTTTCCTGGGCATCTCCCTCCACCGCCCAGTGTACTGGTAGGTTTGTTGACTGAGGAGGGCTCGCTCTGTCTAGTTCTATGACTGTTGCAGAAAATCTACACACTGCTTTGTTTTTAAAAGAAGGCAGTCTTAGTTAGGACCTCGGCTCTGATGAAAATCCATAGGAGATACACAATTAATATATTTAACTCTCTAAAGTTTATGTTTATATAAATCACAATCCAGGGTGTTCAAAAATAACTGTAAAATAAATATATTTTATCAATATCCATTGTACTTAGAAAAAAACAAAAAAAATGTACTTTTTTTATTATATTAGAAATAATAATGTTAATATTACACAAATAACAAGCTTATCTGTGAATATAATGCATAGTTTTCAAATACATTCGTGCTGAGAAACCTACATTCCATGCAGACACATTTTGAAAGTGGCAGTGCTCACACTTTTAACATCCCTTTGCTGACTCGGCTCTTCATACCCAAGAACCTTCCTGGCAAAGGTAGAAATAAGACCTCAGGGGTCAGCATGGGCAACTTGCCAAGTCGGTCCAGTAAAATCACATAAGAGCAAAGTAGGAGAAACCGAATACAACTGGGGAGAAACCTGCATTTTGGCTGGCTCTGCATTTCCGGGGAGCAGAGGCATGCCCCTCGGAGCGGCCCTGTGTCCAGGAGCTGCCCGAGCAGTGTAGGGGGTCCCTGCATGTCCTTGAATCGTTCTGTTATTAATAAAACATTTTAGCACAGCAAACATATACCATCAACTCATTTTCATTAAGAGAACATTATTGCGAAGTGAGATAATTAAATATTGTTTTCTAGCATGCAAACGTCATTCTGAAATGCTGGTTTGCAAGGTTACAAAAATGTGCTAATCATAGAAGATTCTGGCACATTATTTAAAGCAGGTCTTGAAGAAATTTAGTAAAAAAAAAAAAATTTGTGCCCTGGCCTGTTTGGCTTAGCGGTTAGAGCATCAGCCTGTGATCCAGAGAGACCCGGGTTCAGTTCCCAATAAGGGCAGGTACCACAGTTGTGGTTTGTCCCCAGCCCCGGTTGGGGTTGTGTGGGTGGCAGCCACTCGATGTGTCTGTCTCACATGGATGTTTCTCTCTCATCTTTTCTCTCTTCCTCTCACTCTATGAATGCAAAAAGTGTCCTCAGGTGAGGATTAAAACACACACACACACACACACACACATTAATTTTTTTTTTTGTTAGTCTGATTACATATTTTTTGGATGGCATTCTTAGTCCATTAAATACAACTTCTGATTTTTTTTTCTTTATTGATTTTAGAGAGGGAGGAAGGGAGAGGGAGAGAGAGAGAGAGAAACATCGATGACAGAGAACATTGATTGGCCCCCTCCTAATGCTGGAACTGGGGATCTGGCCCACAACCCAGGCATGTGCCCTGACCGGGAATTGAACCGGCGACCTCTTGGTGCATGGGTTGATGCTCAACCACTGAACCACATCGGCTGGGCACAACTTCTGATTTAAACAGGCTTTCTCCCTGTTCGAAAAGAGGATGCTTTTTGTAATCAAAGACTGAAGGCATTTCAGCTGGTTTTTATTTCTGGGCATATGGCAGAGTGTATTATTTGTTTTGTTCTGTTTTGTTTTGATTTTTGATTTTTTATCCTGAATGGCTTCCTTGTCTAGGCTGCATCACCTCTCTGGAGTGGACGATCTGTGACAATGTCTTTCTCCCATCTGTCCCCTTTCTCACAGGAGTCATTGCAGTGGTGGTATTCATCATCTTCTCCGTCATCGGCATCATGACGCGGTTCCTGTACCGGCACAAGCAGTCACACCGTGCTAACCAGATAAAGGAGAAGGAATACCCGGCGAACTTGGACAGTTCCTTCAGAAACGACATTGACTTGCAAAATACAGTCAGCGAGTGTAAGCGGGAATATTTCATTTGAACACCTACAGGGTCAACGGATACTCCTTCGGTGATACGTTTTTTTCTCCTCCTCTTTCTCCTGTCACTTTGTTCTGGTCATTCTCTTCCTCTTATTTCTTCCCCATTTATTTTTGAAACATGCCTGCATTGACCACAGCATTGACCCCCTTAACCCAACCCCGACAACTAGGCAGCCATGGCCACTGCCTTCCTCCTTGCAGACCTACTGTGTTGATAACGATCACTCACAAGACTGGCTTGTGACTCTGCCAGGAAGTCGCATGGGCACACGTGCACATCCAGTTCTCTATGCCAGCTTCTCAGACGCACCTGCAGTCCCACCGAGCTCTGTGACATGGCCATTACCGTCACCTGGGACACCCTCCCCATCTCCAGTCCATCCCTACCAGGGAACTCAGGGCAGAAAAGAAGGTGCTAGAGGCCTGGTTTCCTTCAGTGGCACTTTGAAAGGAACAAGAGAGGTGTGTGTTCATGGTCTGTGACCTAACTCATAACCTGTTACCTCTCTGACTCTTTCCCCCTGAGTGTTTTCCAAAGCAGGATTCCCGTTGGTGTGAGCTGTCCCTGGGCCCTGTCTTACTGCTCTCTCCGGGCCGATGAGAACAGCATACTCCAGCCTCCACCCTAAAGAAGCTTGGAACTAGTCGCTTAACACTAAGAGGGAAGAGAGTACTGCTAATAAGTAGATATTCTATAACTTCAACATCGCCTCTGCTAATTTCATAAAAAATGCTAGTTAGGGTATTCCTGGGATTACTATACTAAGGTATGTGCATATATACACATGAGTAGCTGATGCATAAAAAATTCAAGTAACAATCTAAAATAGTACCTGGTTCTATGAAAGAACATAAGCCATCTTAATTCAGCTTAAACATAAACAAATAAAGACCACACAAAGGAAGAGAAATGCCAGAGTTCTTTCCCCCCATCCACTCACTGAGACCTGGCAAAGAAGTGAGTGAAGGTTTTGTATTTCGGAGCAGGCAGAATGACCCCCATCAGCCCATCACATGGTCTCCTAGAAGGTGCAGGACACACTGACCTCTGAGCACTGTTAGTTACAGTAAACCCTCCCTGCATTCCTCCAGAGGAGCCCAGGGCTCCAGGGCACATCCCATATTCAAATCTCTACATCCTGTGCATATAAAGGTACACACACACGCACATGCACACGCACATCTTCTTGTAGTCATAACTGCTAGACGAGGTGTTGACAAGTTTCCTAGTCTTTGCTCTTGTGATGACAAAGCATCTAAGAGACACACGCATTCCTTCAAGATTGCACCTTGAGCACACGCATCAGGTGGGGGTAAGAATGCTGATAACTTTGCGACAGCCGTATGCTCCCCTTTGCCTCTGGGCTGTCCTGCAGGAAAACAGAAGGGGAAAAGATACAGATGCTCCAGTATGCCGGGAAAACCCGTATCATGATCCACAGAAATGGGACATCCTTGCTGCTTCTCTTTACCAGACAGATTTGAGGGGGAGACAATGACCACAGCTCTTCATTTGGCAGTCAGCACCCCACCTGTCTCAGTGTGTCTGTCACCTCTGAATGTTTGGTGCTGCCCTGCTTGGGAGCCCCAGTGAGGAACACATCGGCTTTGTTTGATTTCAGGTCCATTTCAGGCTCTGCTTCCAGAGAACGTGGAGTCAGGATTTAGTTCATTTTCATATTTCTCCACTTTAAGATGTTCTAATTACTCATGCTCCCCTTGAAATTTTCTCTGAAGCGTTACTATTATGTCATCACCTCCATTATATCTTTTTGCTAGTAAATTTATGTCAGCATGAGTCTCCCAAAGACACTCTTTTTCTTCTTCCCACTTTAATAAGGTGAATGATCTGTTCACAGTAGGAAAGAACTTTAAATACTGGTTTCTTCTGCCCCATTTTCTCCGATTTTTATGTTCACTTTGGAGTTTTCTATTTCTATAAAAAAGTCTGTGTAAATCAGCCATTTGCTTGGCTGTGCAGTCCTTTGTCCCCTGAGATAAAGTGTCCGTAAAATGTAGTGGGTTTTGCCCGGAGCCTCTCCTGTAATGAAATGGAAAGGCAAGGAAGGCGTGAGGGATAAAGCTGGAAACATAAGAGCTATATTTTGCTGATACAGTGCTGACAGAAGAAATGGAGGACAAGAAAGACCAACGTGGATTATTTGCTTTTCTCATGGACACATAGAGCCTCCTAGGCAGTTCTGGAGGCTGGAGAATTGGCGATACACCCCCCCCCCCCAGCCGCATTGCACTTGAGGCCCAGCCCGCCCGCAGACCTCTCTGCATATGTAGACTACGTAGACCCCACCCTACGTGTCACACATCTAAAGACAGATGACAAGGCAGCCCAATCTGCCCGCCACTCTTAGAGGAGTCTCAGGGCTACGCTGGAATTATTTTTACAGGGTTGGATTCTTCCATAAACTCAGCAAACACTCTTTCACTAGATGTGTATGAAAGCAGGTGAGCTGCTTTCTCCAAAGAAAACACACTTTCCGGTTAGAAATGAATGCTAACTCTACCTGTCTTTCCCTCGGTGGTCCCACTGTCCACGTAGTTTTGTGCAGTTGTTTTTATTGTGTGAGTGTCTCAATCCTTGAACGATTATAATCTAAATAAGTTTTTGAAAGCCTTCTAATCCTTCCCTACCCACCGTTTAGGCTACAGCAATCATGTTTTCTGAATGCCTACACCTGGACTACCGTAGGTCTCCACTTGAACCTTCTGTCTTTGTTAACTGCTGTTTACACAACCATTGCATCAGATGTGGTCACTGTACATTAAAACCAAAAATACCTGTGCAGTTTCACACTCTAAGGGGGCTATTGCATTGATATCCTTCCACCAAACAAATCTACGTATGCAAGCAATAGTGCATCCGTTTGCCATATGATCTATTTAACACTGACTGCATCATCCACTGTATCAACACGTCACATTGCCATGGTTTCTACAAAGGTCCAACTGGAGAATTCAAGATCCATCACTTCTCTAGAGTATTTTTATGAATAGCTTAACCTCTTCAATTCACTCTCAGTGGCATATGAGAGATTTGTCTTAAGGATCCTGGGGCTGACTTTTTAAAATAGGTATTATTCTCTTTGGTATTAAAAGAGATGCTAATCACCTGACATCCCCCTTTTGTCAGAGGCATGCTCCCCCACAAGGTAGTAATAGGAGCAGGCCAGAAAAAAACAAAACAAACAAACACAATAGATTGTTCTCTTCTTTCTTTCTTCATTCCTGAAGTGTTTATTGGATGCCCAGTACCCCAGGGGCTGTGTTAGGTGTTGGGTATACAGATAAAAGTTACACCTTGCCTTTGCTCTGGGGAGCCCGAAGCCTAACACATCTGTAATAAGCAATGTTGTTATAATAGGGCATGCAGAAAGTGCTGTAGAAAGTAGAGCAAAGGTCCCGCACAATTATTTTTGTAAAGCCCTTGCTAGAGATTTAAAAAGCAGGTACATTTCTGGAAAATGTTTGTAATTTTTTTTTTGTTTATTGCTTTGACCTTCAATAAACTGCTTTTTTTCCTACTCCTCAAAGCAAATACATATCAAGGCAGGTATGTTTCTGCAGAGGGAGATATATTGAATCTTTAGGGACTGCAGGAATAAATGTCCCTATCTCTAAAATATCTTTGAGAGGCTGAATTCTCTTTATTCTCGTTCTACTTCTGGTTGAGGGATTTTGAGACCCCCCCCCTTCCTTCAACAGTCCTAAGTGACAGTTTAAGGACCGCCTTCTCCACATTTGCTCCCCTCCTCTTCCTTTCTCAGTCCGCCTTTCAGCGTCCAGCGGTGACCCGTTGCATGCCACTCCCTTCCAGATGTGCTCCAGTGGTCTCTGCTGTAGTCCAGCTCCTCCTGAAACCTCCTTTTGTCTGATGAGCTTTCTGAGAACTAGATGAAGTATCTCTTTGAGCAAATAACTGACTAAGTGTTGTTACCCATTTAAGTGAGGTCTCACCTCTGTGCTCTGGTGGAACTGTCTCAACCCGGAAAGTTACCCATGTCTCTTTTCTGTAGAAAGCCCATTCTGTTAGAGGAGCAGAACTGGGGGGCGGTGAGCAGAGTCTTCTCCCAGAAGTTCAGAAGGATTGGAAACAGGCCATTTCAATGATTTCTTGTAAAAAGGCTTGACAGTTTGTTCACCAACATCTTGGCTTCCTTTGGATTCTCCCATGGCTACAATGAAACAAACACAAACGAACAAAAAACACCACCTTGTAACCCAGCCTGCACAGGGAAATTTAGATACAGTGTATACTCTGCTGTGCATTTTCCTTTAACCTAAACGATTGGATGCATTTAGTCTTCAGTCATTCTAAAGGTCACAAGTTAACCTAATACATACAAAAGGCCCCTTGTTCCTACAGATACAAAAGTGATTCATGGACGAAGTTGGAGAAACAAACTTTCAGAATATTTTAAGCATAGCTGAGTGCTCTTTCTTGTCTCTCATGCAGTTTGAAAATGTTTTCTGTAACAGACGCAAAGTGTAATTGAATTACTTCCACACACTGTTTCTAAGATGCTCTTAACCTCTCCTCCATCCCCTCACCCACACGCTTGTTAAGTCACCCAGTTTTTACATTTTGGTTGTCCATAGTTTTATCATGCTTTCACAAATTCCATAGAGTTGAACCTCCTAGAAAGAATAACAATGCAAATACACACATCTACAAATACTTTGTAAAAATAGGGCTGCTATTCGAGCTTTCTTCAGGACATTTCTATATATATCTGTTGAGTAGGGAGAGACATCCATTCCCTTTTGAGTTGTCATTTATTGGAAACCATCTCATAAGGTTTTAATAGTTCACTCTTTTGCTATTTTAAGTAATTTTCCTCTTATTCTGCACTAGGGTACTCTGAGAAAGAACAAAAAAAAAAAAGCACATTTTTTAGTGAAATATAATACTTTGTAAGCTAGGTGTCTGTCTTTTGTAGCATTTTTAGTCCACCAAGTGGCTGAGCAGACAGGAGCAAGGATT